TTTAGGGTTTAGGGTTTCCAAAATCCATACTCTGAGTGGTTTTTGGACCCTGAAACCCTACTATTTGGGCACTTGGACCCTTAGGGCTCTTGATCTCCATCACGGGATATGGTTTAGGGCTTAACGTAGGGGCCTTCATATTTAGAACCGAGTTTTGGGGTCCTTCATACGATAATTACAATAAGGGACCCTAAGGAGTAATACTGGTAATGATTGAGGCTTCCATACTATATAAGTATCAGGTTCAGTTAAACCCTACACCCTAAGCCCTGAACCCTAGACCCTAAACCCTAAACCCTAGACCCTAAACCCTAAACCCTAAACCCCAAACCCTAGACCCCTAAACCCTAAACCGTAAGTTTAGGGTTTAGGGTTTGGGGTTCAGTTAGGTCTTAGGCTTTACGAGGCCTCTAGGGCAATAGGGTTCAGTCCACACCCTGCAATTCTCATAGTGTAGGGGCCCTAATAATTAGCATGGAGGTTTCATAGGATTCCTTTAAAGGGTTCCTTACAGGGCTCTACAAAGTTTAGGGGCCTTAATAATTAGAATGGGGCTTTGGGGCCTATTATACTATAAGTATAGAAAAGGAACCCCCAAAATAGTATAGGTAATTATTTAGGCCCCTAGATTACGCACTCTTCTACAACCCTCTCGTCACAGAGGCTAAGGCGACATGCCTGGTCACGCTCTGCTCGCGAGCCTTTTTCAACAGGAGCTTCCTGAGAGCCCGGAGGTGGTGGAATTTGTGGGGTATGTGGGTTTAGGGGTTAGGGGACGAGACAGCAACGACGAGGAAACGGAAAAGGACGACTGCTGCATACGGTAGCTGGCAGCAATGCTCTCACCCCTGCGAAGATGCCCAAATCAGCGTACTCAACCGTACTGAGTGTGGTTGACCTGTTCGAGCTAGCACCATCGTTGCTAACGGCCAGATGTCTTAAGAAAGGCCGGTGACTTGAGAACGACAATCCCGGCAGCCTGTTGCTCCTGCTCATGCTGATACTGCTGGTGATGGTGTCGGTGTTGGTAATGATTGCACAGATGGTTGTGGGCGCACCGCGATGGGGCAGTGCACTTCCTGCCCAACTGAGACCGGCACTGCGCGTAGCTTCGCGCTTGAGCGTTTTGCCGCAGCAAGCCCTGCAAATAGGCGCGTGCGTATATGGCTTACTGAAACAAACGAACGCGAACCCTTGATTAAGACCAACCCCCCGTTCGCAGGATCACTACTACTATACAAGAGTTTACATGACAGCAACACTCCCCTCTACCCAACAATCCCACAGAAGTCTGCACATACTGTTGATGATATAAATCCTGCATTACCTTAAGGACCCTGAACTCTGAGATTTATGGCATATTCCGTATTATGGGGAATGCAGGATTTTTATCATCATATCCGTATCTTTCGGGAGCTGGCACCTCCGAAGAAACGTTAAAGAAGGTTACTGTAGTCTGAGGGTCCAGTTCTCAGATTTCGGGTTTAGGGATACTGTAGTCTGTAGGGTTTAGGGGTTGGGGGTTTTGAAGTGTGAGCACACATAAACCCATTGACCTACAAGGCTACTGTACTAAACCCACCCCCGACACACTTCCAAGTTGATACCTTCCGGGGCTTAAGCTCCATAGATAGTGGCCATAAGGGATGTGGAGGGTATGTTCTTGTATAATGTAGGTATAACTGTATAGCTGTAATATGTCTTACATCGTCCTCCTATCGCACTCCTTAGACACTCCTGAACGCGACCTAAGTCGCTTATAAGACAATGGCCCGAAAGTTGTTGGTACCTATGTGGTCCCTTGATATAAGGAACCCTCAGGAATTGGACAGCATAGGTACTTAAACTCCACTTTGTATGAGAGCTTTAGCCCTCAATGGCTTCTGCTTTGGAGTTGGGGGCCTGCTGTGCGATGGTGTGGGCAAACCGCGCATTGCTAAGATCCCAAATGCTTGAGAGAACCCTCCATTCAGTTCTCCATACATAAACATAGGGGCCACAATGCTGAGAATGGGGTTTGGGGGTATATGGTAATAGAACCTATTGGGCCCAAGAACTTAAAGTTGCAAGAGGTTCAGCATCCTAGACTCTAAACCAAAACTCCGCAATTCCAAGTCCAAAACCCACGCCGCAAACCAGACTAAACCCGAACTCAAGACACGCCAGCACGCCCGCCCGGCCAACCCCCCACCGGAAAGAACCAAAAACAACGTATTTTCAAAACGACTGTTCCCTCAGGATCCGCGGAAGAAGGGCCATAGACATGCATGGTTTATATATCCCATACTAATACCACTAGTTAACAGTATGGTTGCCACTGCTTGTTATTACTATTGACAGTTGATATCATTGCCCAAGCGATGATGACGATGATGACATGGCTATTACAATTATCCTAAGTGCGAGTATGCGAATGAGACAGCATTGTCAATGCCACTCTGCTATCTTTGGATGTGTAAGTGCCGCCAAAGCCTGAACCCTAAACCCTAAACCCAAAACCCTAAACCCGAAACCCTAAACCCAAAACCCTAAACCCTAAACCGAAATCCTGAGATATCCCCGGCTCCGCCCTTGCCTCAAGAAGGCTCCAGGAGCTGCTGACCTGCCCAGTAAACCATTTGCCCCTAAGCCCTAAATCCCTAAACTAGCCTAAACCCCTAAACACTAAACCCTAAACCCTAAACCCCTCAACCCTGAACCCCTAAACCCTAAACCCTAAACCCTAAACCCTACCTAAACTAGCCTAAACCCCTAGACTGCCGAGAGCGCCGCTGACTATTTGCATGGGCGCGCGAGGCTCCGACCGAGAGCCCCAGAACGGTGAGGGAGGGTATCTCCCCGGCCCTTAGAAGCGGGTTTAGGGTTTAGGGGTTTAGGGGTTTAGGGGTTCAGGGTTTAGGGTTTAGGGTCGCGGGTGAGCCCTGAACCCTATTTGAGAATGGTCGGGGGTGGCTGGGGCGGGACTGTATGCTGACGCAAGCGCGCGATAAGTGGGCGCGCCCCTGTTCCTGAAGTAGAAGGTGCACCCACCCTGTGCACACTGTCTACACACTGTAAACCCCTAACCCTGAACAATCCTAATAAACCCCTAAACTGTAAACCCCAAAACCATCCCATACACTAAAAACGGAAACTGGCATGCAAGATAGGGGCCAAAAACACTTGGAATAGGCCTTCGCGGATTATGAGAGCACAATCATGCTTGGAACATTCTGGATCTATGAGGCCCTGCGATTTTCTGCACGATTGGCGGCATAGATCCACGGTGGACAAGAGCCAGGATACAATTAATTACCCTAGTCCCTCAAACCAACCCCCCAAAACCCCAAACCCAAAACCCCACACTCCAAAATCCGCAACCCCAAAAGCCTAAACGCTCATGCTCCGGCACTGAAGTGATGGAAGGATTCTTGCATGAAAACGGAGATTTTCTGACACCCCAAAACACCCACTCCCACATTCCCTGGACCCTTATAGGGTTGTGTGTTGAGATTCTCGGGGTCTACGAAACCTACACTTCAATCTTTACAGGTTTGGCCTTCTTCGTGGGTGTGTGTGTGTACCTTCGAAGCGCATTCTTCCATGATGTCGGCCTGGACCAAGTTCAGGAAGACTTCGGCCACGGAAGCCAAGCTCACAGACCGATGGAAGCATACCATGGGTTTAGGGTTTAGGGTTTAGGGTTTAGGGTTTAGGGTCATCGTATGCACGGGCTTTCTTTCCGATGACCCCAGGAGACGCCCCAGCTCTGCCAACGACCTTTGCAGAAGCTTCGCCTCCTCTGGCCGTGTCCAAAGGGCGACGATGTGGCTGATATGCGTGGACAAGCCTGTTCCCACATATCAAAGGCCTGTCATTCCAGGAGGGCAAGGTCGCGTAGTCATGTCTTCGACGTCGTCCTCTTGTTCGGATTCTCCAAAACCCCTTCATTAAGTAATTCACCTTAAATTACAGACAGACCCTGAATATGATTGAAGCTACCTTCCTTGATGTATGGGCTTATATAAGCACTTGGGATCCTGAATATACGCACTTGGAGGTTCATGGGTAATTAGTTATAAGTGGGGTTATAAGCCCCCTAATATGGGTTATAACTAGAGCTACGTTACTTATCACCCCACTTATAACTTCCCATGAACCTCCAAGTACCCGCAAATAGGGACCCCAGGCCTTAGCTGAAACAAGACCCCAGAAACCCTATGCCCTATATCATGAGGGTTTAGGGTTTAGGGGTTGAGGGTTTAGGGTTAAGGGGTTTAGGGCCCTAGGAACTACAAAAAACAACATGAACAAACCATCATGAACCTCTCCTAAACACTCTTGAAATCTTTCAGAAACACCTAGATGGTTAGTTACTGTCCGACTATTTAGGAGGCTCTCACCTCCTGCGCGCTGACGTCTGCCACGTCCAGGCCCAAGCCAGCAAAGAGCGTCCGATCCTCTACAAACAGTGGATTTCGGCTGTTACCACTTAGAGGCCGGGGTATTCAAGGCTCATGGGCTTCAGTAACTTGTGTGCTTTAAAAGTAGATGGTGCGCCCTCTACTCTGCTCACCAAGCGATACCCCTGCGAGTACTCGCATCCATCCGAGGCATCTCCATCCTGCGGCCTGACTTGTTGCTTGACAGCAACAACCTACTCGGCAACTCCACCAAATGTCCTACAGCACTTACGTAGTCGAGTAAGGTTTATACCTTGAGAGACTATTGTGATTTGGGAGAGTACCCCCTAAACCCTAAACCTCAAAACCCTAAACCCACCACGATCCCTGGGGAGTGTCATCGGAGACATGGTAGAGGTACCCCGGACATGTCGTGCAGGAAAGGATCTCTGGCCAAAGGTTAAGTGTTTAGGGCTTAAGGGGCAGGGTCAGTAGGCGATCCTGGGTAAGATTTTAATGCCTTCTGCTTTACGGGGTCGGGGTTCCTGCTGCTTAGTGTAAGTCTTAGGGTTACAGGCTAATAAGGTGCTACAGTCTAGCACGTGCCTGCGGCTCTGAATACTTGCTAGTTGGAGGCAGAAACCTGTAGTTAAGGCGTCATGGCCTACTATGTTGTAGGCGAAATGCTGTTATGAGGTCTTGCTTTAAAGGCGAAGCCCATCAAGTAATGAAAACACAAAATACAGTTCATCAGAATCAGGTGCCGCGGCCAGGGTTACGGAAACGAAGAAACTTCTAAACCAAACCCTAAACCCCAAACCACAAAACCCTAAACCCCTAACCCCTAAACCCTAAACCCTAAACCCTAAACCCCTTAACGAAGCAAGGTTTGAGGATCCGAAAGCCTACGTTTTAAGGGTTAGGCCCTATCATTAAGGGGTCATAGTCTACTATGCGGCCATTTTGTAGGGTTTGAGGCTGCAGGCATGCCTTAAGATCATAATGAAGAGCCTTCTGCAGTTTCATTATCATTCTATTTAGAGAATATTGTTGAGGGGTCTCTGGCAACCCTATCAACCCTAGACCCTGATGTGGAAAGCAGGACCAGTAGAATCTCACAGATGGTGGTTCACAAGGGTAAAGAGTCTATGCGGACTTTTCATGCACGCATTGCATCCGTAACTCATGAACAGGTGACCGCTCCCGAATGTGCGTCTGTGTGTGTGTGTGTTGTTGAAGAGTGCTCACTCTGCCGTAACCTTACTTCCGAGTCTTATCCGTATACGACGAAGCCGCCAACCAACATATCCGTATAATCATACAGTAGCCCAACCTGAAAGCCAAACCCTACAAGCCTCAAGCCCTCGACTCGGCAAACCACTATACGCTAAAACAGTGAACCCTGAAACTCTCAGCCGTTCTCCTACCCTAAACCCTAAACCCTAAACCCTAAATCCTAAACCGTACAAGCTCTGGGGCACCAACGATGAGACGCTCGAAGGCGTTAGAACCAATTCGACTAGGCCTTCGCAGAGGCGATGCTGCTGTCACGGAGGAGAGCTTCGGGTGAAGGGAGGGCTCCTTCAAAAGGTTCCTTAAAGGGTTCTATTTGGGTTATACTATCCTTTAAAGGGCTCCTTAAAGGGTTCTATAAGGGTTATACTATCCTTTGAAGGGCTCCTTAAAGGGTTCTATAAGGGTTAAACTATCCTTTAAAGGGTTCCTTAAAGGGTTCTATAAAGGTTAAGCTATAAGGGTTTGGGGTTTAGGGGCCTTCATAATTGGAATAGGGTTTCGGGGCATACTACGGGCATACCATATGTATTCCATAGCTATTATCTGGAAGCCCCGACACTGCTAATTGTTTAGGCCCCCATATTAGGGTTTAGGGTTTCGGGTTTAGGTTTTAGGGTTTAGGTTTAGGGCTATCTTTACAAACTCAACCCTAAATCAAGAACAACTCCAAAGCCCTACACAGTCCCCCGATGGTGTTGATACCGCAAACCCTATACACCCTAAAACCTAAACCCTAAAACCCCCGGATGGTGTTGATACCGCAAACCCTACTCTGAAAACATGTTAAGGCCATCAGTGTTCCATTGTCGGCTTTGTTGTCGTTAGGGCTGTGTAGGGGCCGGAAGAACTATTATAGTAAGGCTTTCAAACTAGGGTGTGTAATCAAACATGGACTACGCCTGACCACTCAGCCCTCAAATCTCGTTAGTGCTGACCTTCGGCATGGTTGCTAGCATGCACGGATTTGGGGATGCTTCTTTGGGATTTGTGGGCTTCACGTTGCGCTTATTCGGGAGCCCCCAAAATGAATTCAAGGGTTCGGGTCTTTAAAACAACTGGTTTTCAGTAGCTTCGGGGAATGGAAGCCGAATGATGGGCCTAAGGCTTGTCCCGCATTTCAAGGGTTACGGGTATAATTGTTCAGAAGGTTACACCCCAAATCAAAACTTTGTACGAACCTATGAAACCCTTAACCCTAACACCTGGGTGGTTGTCAAAATTATGGTCCCTTTTTGGGCCCTTATTATAATACGGCACCTATTATTTAGGGTACCCCAAAAGGGACCATAATTTTGACAACCACCCACCTGACGAGACTGCAGGTTCATGGTTCGTCTGGGCGTTTGAAGCTGATGCGTTCTCCTTCTCAGCTGACCCTTAACCCTAAACCCTAAACCCAAAACCCCTAACCCAAACCCCCTAAACCCCCTAAACCCCAAACCCTAAACCCTAAAACCCTAAACCCTAAACCCTAAAACCCTAAAGCCCTAAACACGACCCCTAAACCCCTAAAACCCTAAAACCCTAAAAACCCTAAACCCCAATCTCGCTCTCAGCTGAGGGCCCCACGACTCCACGGACATCGCCGGCCAGAACCAGGGACATGGTGGCGGAATCTACTAGAATAGGGCTCCTTAAAGGGTTTAGGGTTTAGGGTTAGGGTTTAGGCAGGGTTTAGGGTTTGCGCATACTAGAACAGGGCTCCTTTAGGGCTTGCGCATACTAGTAGTTATAATGAGGGACCCCCCAAAGAGTAATGATTCAGGCCCCTATATTAGGTTGCCTTATGTTGCCGTTGAATTTAAACCTGCACGTGGGTCTAGGGCTTTTGTTTTAAAGCGTAGACGTAAGGATATCTCAACTTTCTCGCGACTGCGAGTGGGCATGCGGACTTGCAAGGCTAAAGGTTTGACAAGTTCACACTTCATACTCCTATAGCGCTACTGACTGACACATGTCCGGGCTCTTCCCCAATCTAACTTCTTGAGGGCATGTTTTGAGCGCACTCATGACGATTTCAACTGCAGGGCAAGGAATCATCAAGTCCGCATGCTACACAAGAGTTGTTAAAGGGAGAACTCCCGAACCCCCTAACCTCAACTTGCAAGCCTAAGCTTTACAACCATCAGAGATGGGGTTGATGAATTACTTGTAAGGATTAGGATCTCAATGGCAAGTTAACAAACTCTCAACTCTAAATTCTGAAAGCTAAACATGGAACCTGTCTTGTCTGCCTGGCTGGTGTGTGGGATGCCCTCCAGTAGCCTACAGGCAACGGGTATGCTAGGGAAACGGGGTGTGGTAAGAGGCTTGTGCAGTTTGAGATTTGAGGTTTCGGGCTTTAGGGTTTAGGGGTTTAGGGCGCGAAGTTCAGGGTCCAGGGCTCGGGGTTTATGGTTTAGGGTTAGGTTAGGGTTCCCCTAAACCCTAAACCCTAAACCCTAAACCCTAAACCCTAAACCCTAAACCCTAAACCCTAAACCCTAAACCCTTACGACTTCGGAGTCTTTTGGGTGTTAAGCTTTAGGGTTCTTTAAGGATCAGAGTGGAGGCCGGGTGACTTTGTTTGAGTGCGAAGCTCTGACTGACTGTCTGATAGAAATGTATATAGGGGCCTTTGTAATTAGAATAGGGTTTGGGGCCCATTATACTATAAAAATAAAAGGAACCCCCCCAAATGGTATTGGTATTCATTTAAGCCCCTAGATTAAGCATCCCTCATGCTTCCTACTGTCGCTGCTTGTGGTATGTCTAGTCTTTGGCTGGTGTCAGTAATGCATCCCAGCACTTGCTGATATGGAGAAGCAACCACGCAACAAACAGCACAAACAGCACAACACCCTAAACCCTAAACTTAAACCCTAACCCCAAAACCCTAAACCCTAAACCCTAAACCCAAACCCCAAAACCCTAAACCCTAAACCCTAAACCCTAAACCCAAACCCCAAAACCCTGAACCCTAAACCCTGAACCCTAACCCCTAAAACCCTAAACCCCTAAACCCCTAAACCCTTAAACCTAAACCCTAAACCCTAAATGGGGCATTTGTTGAGCTGCCGGCTGAACAC